TCCTGCCTTTGCCTCCCAAAGCGCTGGGATTACAGGTGTGAGCCACTGCCTCCAGCCAGCTTTAATTTCTAATGCAGAAATAATAAAAGATATACACTACATAAACAAAACCTCTTTCAATTCTAATTTTTAAGAATTTAAAGGCATTCTGAGACCAAAAAGTTCAAGAACTGCTGGAACAAAAATGTAGAGTTTTATTAAAGGCTGACTTTTCAAGCTGAAGTCTTGAGGTACCAAATAATAGAGGGTTCTGGCTTTGTTAAAGTGTGGCTTAGTTAAGACTTACCATACAAAAATGCAAGCAAAACACCTAGCCTCCTCCTAGAACGAAGCCAGTTTGCAATAAATGCTTGTCATTATTGTTTCCCTTATCTTACGGGCTTACACACACCAGCTGTCTAGTCGTAGCAGCAGCAGCAGTAATAGGAGTGGTAGTATTACAACATCTCTGCAACCTAACTGGTAATATACAAGGTGGCTCCTCGTCACCTTTTAACCTGCCTAGGGTTATACTCAATACTACTTCAACTTCTTTCAGGAAGTAACCCTAAATATTCTCAGGTGAATATATCATTAGTTTATGAGAAAATATCCATCTGCCAGAGCAGTTGGGATTGCAAAACCAAAAGAGATTTAAAACACATCAGAGAAGTGACAAATTTACTAAAAATGAGTTTTCTTCATTCAAAGAAGGAAAGAAGAAAATGTTCCTACCCATTAATTTCCCTAAATAAATGTAATCTTTAAAAATATCCCATCTTTTTGAAAAGAACTGACATATGGTTTAAAGGTTCTAGAATCTCCTAAAATGTCTAGGCGAAAGGCAGTGACAACAAGTTTATAGAAATATGGAAACACTATAAATAAGCAAATGACTACTGTATTGGAGTCCCAATTAGTCACAATTTTTGTTAACTGGGATAGAGGAAAGAGACCAGGTCGGGGAAGAAGGCAGGAGGAAGCAGCTGAAGTACGATTCAAAGGCAAGGGACTTTTGAGAAATCATCTTTGGAGTCAATCAGACTTCACAAAAATGAGCTCATCTAGGTTTTCAGGGCAACAAACAGAAGAAATAACTGTTTATATTGGAATGTATAATGATTGTCACAGCTCTTTTACATATTTAATCTCCCTTAATCAATGGAGAATAGGAGAGTACTAAATTGAAAATTATCCACATTGTTGATTAGGGTATTTGTCTGAGTGGACAAAGTGAGGGAGGAAACTGGAAGTATAATAGAATTAAGTTCTTACATTACTTTTAATGAAGGAAAAAATCCAGAGAGTTTTTCATTTTTCTTTTTTTACTGGGCAGTTACCTAAATTAGAAAATCCAAATCATAATTTCAAAATGAGCCATTTTAGAAATAACATGAGAACATAAAGGAGAGAGCCTTTGAAAAAGGGCATGTACTGCTCCCATTATCAGGGAAATGTGGATTTAAACAGGCAGACTGCAAGTAAAATAGCTATACCATTGAAGTAAAAACAATAAAGTAGGCCGGGTGCGGCGGCTCACACCTGTAATCCCAGCACTTTGGGAAGCCAAGGCAGGTGGATCACAAGGTCAAGAGATCGAGATCATCCTGGGCAATACGGTAAAACCCTGTCTCTACTAAAAATACAAAAAAATTAGCCGGGCATGGTAGAGTGTGCTTGTAGTCCCAGGTATTTGGGAGGCTGAGGCAGGAGAATCACTTGAACCCAGAAGGCGGAGGAGGCTGCAGTGAGCCAAGATCAGGTCACTGCACTCCAGCCTGGTGACAGAGTGAGACTCCATCTCAATAAAATAAAAATAAAAATAAAAATAAAAAAGTAGGACATTTTCTGAAAGTATTTATCTTTAAAGTCAATGATCTGTTAGTGCATTTTAAAGAAAAGAACAAAAATGTTTTTAAAAAATGGGGTAAAGACAAGGACATAAACTTCTGGCTTTTCGCATATATCAGGACACCAGTGAATAGCATAAGTTTAGTTGAGTAGAGCACAAATTATTTCACAGTTAAATCTGCTTTTTTCCCTCAGGTATTATATATCTATTTCTTCTCTCATTTCATAGACATTCCACATTCTCCATCAATCTATTCACTCACTATCCCAGGTTAGATAGCATGTTAGATTTTTACTTTTGTTATCAGTGAGAACACAAGATGACAAAGTCAATTGGGATTCCTCACACTGGTGCTGAGGATAGTGTGTGGAAGCGAATGAGTGCAGGCAACTGAGAGACAGATCTGAGACCATCGCTGCTTGCAAATTTAGTGCCTGACTAAAGGGAGAGAGAACAGTAAAAAGAAGGATGAGAAAGAGAAGGAGGAGTAGTGGAGGAATGCAGGGGGGAGGGAAGGAGAGAAAGGAAGACAAGAGGGAAGAGAAACAATGGAGAGAAACAGGCATTTTAGTATGTTCTGCCCCTTTCCCCATTACCATAAAAATTAAATCCAGATTTAATCTGTTCTCTTTGTTGTTTCCTGCTGTTTTGTTTTGTTTTCATGTGTCCTGGAAATCTCCAGCTAGATCTACTCTTGGGACAAACAGAAAAATCTGAACAATGTATTATCTAACCCTTAAAATAAGCACAGAACTATGATTTAATCAAAACCTGGGGATAAAATATATGTAACACTATGTATCAGAACCTTAAGACAATCCAAAATTCCAATTGCTAAAACCTAATAGCTGGCATCCTATTCTGTTCCTCAAGCCACATGCTCACCAGTGACTGAATGGGTTGTCTGCAATATGGTTATCGCAACCCTACTGGTGTTATTATAGCATGGACTCGTGCAGCTTCGAATTCCAAAATGAAGACAAATTTGGTCTAATTTTCTGGTCTTGTCCTGGATATTGCATCTGATTCATTCCTGAATTATTTCATGAGTTTTATCCTTTGGTTATTCTTAACATTAATTAATTAGCTCACCATCAATGAGTTAAAAACAAACCAGGTCTCAAAACTAAGACTACAACACATTTCCCTGTATTGACCTGATAGAAAAGATGAATAATAGAATAGCTGTGGTTTTGGCAACTAACCTGGGGTTCAGTTAGGAAAGAAAAATGCTATTAATTCAGGATAAAGCACAGTACAGCCTGACAGTAAACTGCTGGGAGCAGCTGCAAGCTGAAAATCTGGCACAGGCTGCTAATTTGAACAAAAGATTTAAACAGCCAGGGCACATAAAGATGCAGAAGCAAGCCTGTGGAGAATAACTACAGCTGAAATCGGAGGTGTATCTTCATATGACCAGCTGTGGAGGTCCTCATCGTCTCACATTGATCTTTCCATTTAAGATTGAATGGAATCCAAGTTTTCCATAACTTCAATCTTATAGTATTAAGTTCAGTGACTATCAGCCACAGTACCTGATATGCACTATATTTGAAACAGGATCCTGTTTTTGCATCAAACAAAAAGTTCCATTGTTGATTAGGGTATCAGTATTAAACCTCTCCCTCTCCTTTCCTCTTGCATCCATCAATTGGCTATATGTACACATAGAATTGATGTAAACTGCACAAGATTTACCTATAGGAAAGTGGGTCCTACTCATTCTGTATTAGATTCCTTAAAGGTATGAGTTTTGACTGAAGCTGCTTCTCCTCAACTCCTTTGCTATTACTTTTAAAAAATTCAAATAGTCTATTGAGATACCAGCTTAAATACTGTCTTCTGGCCAAAACACAAAAGGTTAACAAATAGAAAAACCCACACAAACAACTACCATCTCTAGCAACCACAAGGGACAACGAACACACAAGCAAAAATTGGTCTTCTATTTTACAGAAAGGCAAGGCAAAGCTGGAAAACTCCTTAGGAACATAACATTTCTGGAATCTAACAATGACCACTAAAGGTCTCAGTAAGTCTTAGAATTCCAAAATAAAATCTTGACTGACTTTTCTTCAAACCCCCATTTAATACATAGCAAGAAAGTATTTCAGGTGACCTTATTTTATCTTCTAAAATGGTTATTGGGACAGTTCATGTAACACTTTTTTGCCAAATTTACATAATGATGAGAAGAATCAACAAATACTTAGATACTTAGTCAATGTGAGAAAGGAGGAGACAGCTTCACTCATACAGAAATGACTCATCAGGTGTTTCCCTATAAGCTTCCAGGATCTACCATCTGCTAAATGGAATGGTGGCCAGAATGTCCTGACTGATTAGCTGCTGCCCATAGAAAAATCTCTGGTTTTTCATTTTACCATTTGTTTTATTTTTATAAGTCATTATCAATTAAAGGAGTAAAAAAATTACTTTTTAACCTGTCTGAAAAAAACCTCTAGACTACCAGCTTAAACCAAGTAATGTTTTCCATGATATTTATTACCCCTGAGAACATCCAGTTTTCATTGCCCTAATAAATAGTACAACAGGACTTGAAAAATATGTGCTGATCTGCCTGGGTGCTAAAAGTATCACCAACAATTTTGATTAACTTGTCTTGACACTGAATGCATTAGCTATACAATATTCTTCTTGCTTATAGGCTAATTAGAATTCAAGGCAGCATGATACCTGCTTTTGAGGATTACAGTAAGAACATTGTTGTAATAAGAACCACCAGGCAGCAAGTTTTGGTAATGATTGATATGTAAAATTATTGAGGGGAAAAAAGAATGAGAAAGTAGAGTCTGCCCCAAAAACATTTATTTCCCTTAAGGATCAAATTTTAGTATAAATTAAAACATCTTGGTGGCACTGATGAAAATGAACTATAATAGCAGGTTTATTTAAAATCCAGAAAACATACCTGTCTGACTTTTTTTTTCTTAACAGCATTACATCATGAAAGCATATTCCTTGTATTTATTGGAGGTTTCATTCTGGCTGCTAAAAAATCAGATTTCTGGTTATATGAGTTTCCTAATTGGACGCTCCAATTATTCAGCTTCTCGGATGAACTTTGTGCAGGCAGGAAATAATTATAAGTAACGATAACACAATGTTATTCGTTTAACCAGTACTCCATTTTCTTTTCCTCTTTTAGGAATTCATTTCACATCCTATGTTGCTTCCAGAAGTTTTTCTCTGCTATTTTTAAACTGTGATTTGATGTTTGTAAGGAAGGAACCTCATCTCTGGTGGATTTAGAAGATAAGCTTCTATTAGATTACTGAGGACTGTACTTAATCCTAAGAATGCCAGAGTAAATGCTTCTGCCACCTATAAAAGCTAGTCTTTATATAATTTAGTGGCAAGAATGATTTCACATGCTGGGATATAAAGAGTTAGTTACTGTCTCATACCCTCCTCGTCCCCAAATTCTTGATCTGAATGTCGAATTTTCACTAATGTGGAAGCCAGAAAAAAAAAACCAAAAAAAAAAAAAAACAACCAATCTTTGAAGCACAATAATACTGTGAAAACGTATTTGCCACCAAAATTATTTCATATAAATTTCCTGTATTACATCTCCCTTGCTCCACGATTTTTCCCCTAAGTTTTTTTTCTGAACATGGTGAAATAAACTGGTGGACAGTTTTTTTTTTTTTTTTTTTTTTTTTTGTCATGGAATCTTGCTCTGTCACCCAGGCAGGAGTGCAGTGGCATGATCCTGGCTCACTGCAACCTCCACCTCCCAGGTTCAAGTGATTCTCCTGCCTCAGCCTCGCAAGTAGCTGGGACTAGAGGTGTGCACCACCACGCTTGGCTAATTTTTGTATTTTTAGTAGAGATGGGGTGTCACCATGTTGGTCAGGCTGGTCTCAAACTCTTGACCTCAAGTGATCTGCCCACTTCAGCCTCCCAAAGTGCTGGGATTACAGGTGTGAGCCACTGTGCCCAGCCTAGTGGTACATGTTGAAAGAAGGAAAAGCAAGCACTGAAAATCTATATTTATGAAAAATTTCTTGGGTTAGGCAACATCGACTAGAGCCTGGAGAATTCCCATCATTACATGTCAAGGGTTGCTTTTCCTTTTCCTATGAACAGTACCAGGAAGGAGAACATCGACAGTGCCATGTCCTATGTCCACAGCATTGTGCTCCTTCATCCTTTATTCCTGGGATACATTTGGGTAATAGGAAAGGGGTATAGTGTGAAGTCACGTTTTGAGAAAAACCAGGTGATCCTTACTGCTCATAAAGTAACATCCCCCCATCATTGCAAAGGAGTTTTCAGAATTTACATCTACTAACCTACAGCGTATACATGGCTTTATATTCTCTAGCTTAAAATGACACTAGGAAAGACTGCACAGAACATGTGCATAACCACTGTTTCCAATATTTTGAGCTGCCCTGAAAGAAAGAGATAACAATAACTAAAACTGGCATAGCATTTACTACATGCTTGGCAATATTTTAAGAATTTTACATGGATTAGTGCATTTTCACAACTCTCTGAGTTATGGTCAATGAGTCCCATCTTAGGAAGAAAGTGAAGTACAGAGAGATGACAGAAGTTGCTCCACATTATATTATTGATAAGGGGTGGACAAGGATCTGCACATTGGTGGTCTGTTCTGAAGTCGCTGCTCTATCCTGCTTACTGCTAGGGCAATGTAACCATAGAAAGGGGGTAAGTAATATATTTACATTTTTCAAAATAAGTGTAGAGAGCAAAACCTAAAAAAACAGGAACTTAGAATTGTACTCTTTTATGTGATATCAGAAAACCTGGTTACAATAATTTTACCCGTTAAAAATATGTGAAGGCTTGTTTCAGAAACTAATTTTCTGGGCTCACATCTTATTCCAGAAGATCAGTGACTGCATGGTACATTATACATAATTTAATTTTCCCAGTTGAACATCGTGACACTATATGAACCATGAATGCACGAAATAGGAATTCCAAATGTCTTCCATACGGTAAGAGGACATTTGGATACTTCTGCAGGAAGCTTAAGAGTAGCTCAAAATTAAGTTATGCCTGTTCTTAGTGACTTTTATTATGTATGCCTAAGGTATTAGCACTTTCCTCTGAGTGGGACTTGGAGGTGATGGATAGATAAGTCTGCTGTCTGTATTTAGGCACTTTGCTCATTTCCTGAGCGCTGTGGAAGGCATGTGGATGCTCATTAAGTTTCCAACCATTCCCCGAGAGCAACAGGTGGTGAATCAAAGCTTCCCTGGTATGTCGTGGCTGGTTTCCTCAAAGTCTTGGAAATAACGGATGGCATTTGCATGCTCTCTGTAGCACCAGCAGATAAGAAGGAGATGAATAGCAACAGGAAGTATCTCCAAAGCATAAACAAGCACACAGGTCTAGGAAGATTATGAGTAACGTTCTGGCAACTACACATTCTATATCCATACATGGTGGTTTCATCTTTTAAATACTGTTACTTGTTCAAACTATGAAATCATAGTTAACTGTCATGTTAACTATGTCATGTGGCTACCTAATAGAAGAAGAAATGTAAAGGAAAAAAGAACATTCTAAGTTAAGAAAACTATGACATAAAATTATAAGCCTTTATTTAATTCTACCTTTATAAATATCCAATGAATACTATAGCTGTGATGTATCTTTTTTTTTTTTTTTTT